TGAAGACATTATAGATTGTAAAGATCTTGTCTCCGTTTTACTCCGTATGCTAATTACTTGTTGCCATTAAACACAAGTCAATTTTATTATTTTAAAGTGTTTTGCGGAGTATGTTGGCACTATGTAAATGCTAATAATTATAATAATAGCATAACTTGCCTTCCTGTCCCACTTCTGACAGTCATATTATTTATGCACCTTCGGTGGACTATCATTTACCAACCAATGCTCACTATTTTGCATCCACCCATTGCTTTTTCAAAGAGCACACACACACACACATTTGAAGAGCAACTGACAGTTGCAAAATAGTGTGCATTGGTCGGGATAACTGACAGTCTGACCCAAGGTGTACAAAGATGGCGGTCAGAATGGAGGAGAGGGAAGGGTAAGACAGTAATTTTTTAAACAACTTCAATATACATGAATTTAAAAAAATAAGAGATGTTATGTTATATTATAAAGAGTATATTTAGATATTATTTTTTTTACTACATTCTTTAGGCATTTACATAGGTAGGTTTGTTATAGCTAGTTAGATATCCACATGTTTTAATTTAGTGAGTAGGACAAATGCCATTGGTGGTAAAATGACTGCATTAAAAAAACTAACGTTCCCAGAGAAATATCAACTAATGTGTAATTTTGGTTTTATTTTTATTTATTTTTTTATCAATATGAATTATCTTGTAATGAAAACTGGGGGTTTGCAATCTAAGCCAGAGTAGACTAGTTTGGACGTTGAAATGAACATGTCATCAAAATGAGTTTTTTTATTTTGTAAGAAACATGAAAAAGCACATATATGTAAGGTATATAAGGTAGTTTACAAGGGATGGCATACACCATGTTTAACGAATCCATGCAAAACTGTAGAGGTTTACCCATTAAACACTGAATTTTAGTTAAGTGCATACTGAATAGCAAAATCAGCAGATTAAAAAAATAAATAAAAAAAAATTCAACCTCAGCTATAATCACAACTTGGCTGTTTTAACCAAAATGTTGCAATTCATTTTTAAATTTACAAACTAACCATTGTGGTCATCTGCAGGCCCGTCATCAAGGTGTGTCCAGGCGCCCGAGCAAACTATGGGGCCCAAGCACAGCTGACTAGACATGTCTGACTAGACATTCATTGTATTGTGAATCGAAACGAATTAGAAGAAATTAAGCAATTTGGAAGCGTCCAATTTTCCAAATTCTTTACAAACTGAAAACAAGCTAAACCAGAACGAATTAAAACAAAATATTTCAGATCCATTGATTTTCATAATTAATGATAGCAAGTTAGGGACTTATCTGTTAAGCAACTAAAAACAGCAAAATTAAGAAAAGGGATTTTTTTCCCTTAGTTTTGATCTGTTAGCAGTTTAGTAATAGCTCCCTAATTTGGCATCCTTGTGTGTAACTGCCATAATTAAAAAAAAAAATGTTTAATAATTTTGATCTTTCAGGTAGCTGTTTAGTATACGTGAAATTATTATTTTTAAGGATATCAAATTAAGGAACTATCTGCCAAACACCACCATAATTTGGCTGGCATCCTCTGGACTAATAGGGCTAAATGGCATCTGAATTTCTGAATATCAGAATTTATGAAAATCTTAAATCGATCATTTCAAAATTTCGGACAATCGGAAATTCTAATATTAAAGAAATTAATGAACTGAAACAAATTTTTTGGCTTTGCACATCTCTACAGCTGATCAATTAGTGAGCAAATACAAACCTGGTCTGCCATTTTAGTCAAATTATGTCTTTTTAAATTGTTTAATTTTTTAGTAAGTTTCCACAATAGAAACACAGAGAGACAGGAAACAAGAAGTATTACATTAAGACAGTGACAGCTATGCATTTGTTGACATTGTATACGTTAGTAAGTAGCAGTGCAGGGGATTGGGTAAAAATGAGTGCCCAGGGATATTTTTGTACTGTGGTGGGGAGAGAAAGGTGCCCTGCTTGCTGTATTTTTACTGGGAGGTGGGTGGTAATGAGGCCTTGCTAGAGGTATTATCATTGAAGCGGGGGTTAAGGAAGGAAGTAAGGATTTCCAGGTGTATTTGTACTTTGGTAAAGGATAAAGAGGTAAGGGGTCGGCTGCATTTTTACTGTGTGGGGTAAAGAGGGAAAGGGTGCTTTTGGTGGAGTGGTAGGTAAGGACAAAATAAGGAATGTCAGTGGTATTTTACTGCTGGAGGTAGAAGGGTAGTAAAGGGAGGACAACAGGGGTATTTTACTGTTGGGGTATAAAGGTAGTAAAGGGAGGACAGCAGGGATATTTTACTGTTGGGGGTATAAGGGTAGTAAAGGGAGGACAACAGGGGTATTTTACTGTTGGGGGAATAAGGGTAGTAAAGGGAGGACAACAGGGGTATTTTACTGCTGGGGTATAAGGGTAGTAAAGGGAGGACAGCAGGGGTATTTTACTGTTGGGGGTATAAAGGTAGTAAAGGGAGGACAGCAGGAATATTTTACTGTTGGGGGTATAAGGGTAGTAAAGGGAGGACAGCAGGGGTATTTTACTGTTGGGGGCATAAGGGAAGTAAAGGGAGGACAGCAGGGGTATTTTACTGTTGGGGGTATAAGGGTAGTAAAGGGAGGACAGCAGGGGTATTTTACTGTTGGAGATATAAGCAAGAAAGATTTACCTGAGAGAAGTATTTAGCCTGTTTTTGGGGTGTAAGGGGAAAGGTGGAAAATTTACTTTTTGGGGATAAGGAAGAAAACTGGATGGCTAGCAAGGGTATTTTGATATGTTTGGCTATAAGCGTCTACCATGAAATGGTGGTTTTATGTTATTTTGGCAAAAATATTAAAAGAAGGTGATTACGCAGGAGAGGTGAAGGTTCAGTAAGAGGACCCAAGACATCTGATGGCAGTCCTGCACGTGTGTAAATGTTTTGGGCTTGTGTGTAAAAGTAAAAAAATACAAGAACTAATGCAAGCCATCATAGAATTGGAGCTAAAGAAAATTTAGAAAATTGACAAAATTTGGCATATCAATTTCCTTGGATATTTTTTTCTCAAAAAGTATATTTTAGCAAATATATTAATAATTAATTAGTTGTTTTCTTTACTGCCCTAATTGACATATGGCAAGCAAACCAGGCAAAGAGTTTATAAACTGACAATCTTTTCTATCCTGGTCCTCAACTCCCCACTTGTAAAAAACAAAAGCTAAAAACTTACCTCATTTCAGCGCCAAGACCTCTCAGCAGACCAATCCTCCTCCTTTGATGTCGCTCCACCTCAATGGAGAGGAAAGGGTGCCAGGGAGGGGCTAAAGCAAGAAAATGGGTATGGACTGAAGCAATGGCGTACACATGACCCATGGGGCCCCGGTGCGAAAATTGATCCGTGGGCCCCCCCCCACGCTTACTCGGCGCGGGTCGGGGCCACAACACATGGCGGCGGGCACCTGGTCGCAGGACTGCGACCCTGCGACCGCGGTATGCACACACACTTAAAGGACCACTACAGACACCCAGATCACATCAGCTCAATGAAGTTGTCTGGATGCCAGGTCCCTCTAGTTTTAACCCTGCAGCTGAAAACATAGCAGTTTCAGAGAAACGGCTATGTTTCACTGAGGGTTAATCCAGCCTCTGGTGGCTGTCTCATTGACAGCCGCTAGAGGAGATTCCGCGATTCTCACTGTGAAAATCACAGTGAGAAGACATTGAACGTCCATAGGAAAGCATTGATTAATGCTTTCCTATCGGCCTTTTTAAATGCGTGTGCCTCTTGCCGCGCATGTGCATTTGGAGCTGAGAGGCGGAGGGATCCCCAGCGCCAAGGGAGTCCGACGCTGGAGAAAGGTAAATGCTGAAGACACACACACACACATTCTCACGAACAGACGCATACACACTAGCTAACAGACACACACATTTACTGACAGAGACACACTCAGCGACAGACATACATAGACACTCACTTACAAAACATACACTTTCACTGACAAACACACACTCACTAACAGACATCAAACACACACGACTCCTGGGCCCCCCAGGAGAAGAGGCTGGCCCTGTGGGTACATACCGGGTCGCAGGGCCGGGCCCGGTCGCAGCCGCGACCCCTGCGACCCTGGTATGTACGCCACTGGACTGAAGGCTGTGCTTCCATGTGGAGCCTGTGGCCCCACTGTGCGTGCTTTCAACAAGCGTCCAATATGCACATAATTGACATTAGCTATTGGCCAGCCAAAACCTCTTGGTTTAGGCTGGCTAATGATGCCCTAATGACCCTATGTGCAGTTATACCCTCGGCAGTAAATATTTGTATCTCTGTGTTATGAAATGCTGCACTTATAGACTCCAAGCACCAAGATCACTGTAAATCACTGACGTGGTCAGGGTGCTTGGAATAACCCTTTTATTTTAGTGACTTTTAATTTTCTTTCCTTAATTTATAATAAAAGCAGAATGAGAACCAAATGCTTAAGCCTCAGTAGACGTATTGAAACCCAATAGGATGAAGACATGATATTTGTGCACTGGATCTGTAAATACAACCATAAAAACTGCAACTTAAACACCATTAAAGCAAGTATGCAGGGTACAAAATACTACTTGCAGGAAAAGTGACATAAATTTAAAGCTGAAATCAATCTATCACACTGAAAACATGTTAATACCAAAGTACCAATAAAATGCCTCACTTCCACTTACACATATTTTCTATTTTATTCATTGCAGGATCATGGCACCTCAGAGGAACCTCGTCGGCCTGCTGTACCTCATGCTCAATGTAGAGATCAGCTACCACAATCTTCCTACTTGGGACCATTCTCTATTTTTAAGTTGGAGTGTGAGTCTGAGCTCAGAATTGAGGTGGAGGGCACAGACCCTGTGCATGTAGAGTTGGTTTCTGGTTTTGCTGAGGTCTTTGGGACACAGATGTCTCAAAATAAAAAATATACATTTTCTACGAGAAGTTGCATAGCAATTTTCACATGGCAAGGTTGTACTGTGCACTACTGGGGCGACCGAAGTATGTCCTATGTGTTTAAAAAAACACCAATGCCATCTTACCTCAACATACATGTTGGACTCGAGCAAATGCGGATTAAAGCAGAACTTGAAAAAAGACGTGGACCCCGTGTTCTGCTGGCAGGGCCTTCAGATGCCGGCAAATCCACTCTTTGTAGAATTCTGCTAAACTACGCCGTGCGGATTGGACGACAACCTACACTGATAGAGCTGGATGTAGAACTGGGGTCAGTGTCTGTACCTGGTACAGTTGGAGCTCTTTGTGTTGAAAAAACTGCAGATATAGAGAGAGGATTCTCAGACCGGGCTCCAGACATCTATCACTATGGATCCACAACTCCTACCAGTAACGTAATGTTATACAACAAGGTGATGTTCAACTATACATATCCTCTAATCAACTTCTTCAGTGTTGAAATAGTCAAACCAAAATCATTCTTGACTACATCTCGGCTTTAAATTTCTCTTTCTCTCTCTCTCTCTACCCTTCCTCCTGTCCCACATTCCCACTAAAAAAAGACAGATAAAGTGAATTTAATTAATGTATTAACTGTACATTGCAGACATAAAAATGTCTAAAAACATATATTCATATTTGAGAACTGCATCAGAATATATATATGTATCTATGTGTATATTTCTGCTTGTAATGTATTATGATCTGTGAGTATATGCAAAGGATAGAGATAATGTTAGACATGGTTAGTGTAGAGGGGCTTGAAAAGTGTTAACAGAGTAAGATTGCACTGACTACAGGTGGTGTTTAGAATTATTGAGTTTAAAAGTTAGGTTAAAGGGACGCTATAGTTACCCAGGCCACTTAAGCCATTGACATTGTCCCTGTCCCACTTAGTCCTGCAATGTAAATAATTGCAGTTTTAGAGTAAGTGCAATGATCACATTGCAGGACTAAGACTGCCTATAGTGGCTTTTGGTCACGCTTTGCATGAGGACATCAAGCATCAGTTAAATCCCCATAGGAAAGCCAATGCACATTAGCCACCCCCCTTACTGTACCAGGGAGAGGGATGGGAGGGAAGGGGGGAACAGAGGGAAGTAGAGTGTAAGGAATACCTTACACTATAGAATCCCTTTAAATTTAGTGTTGGGACACATTGGATGTTTTGCATTTAAAGGGACACTGTAGACAGCCAGACCACTTCAGCTCATTGAAGTGGTCTGGGTGCAATGTCCCATAACTCCACCTCTAGTGGCTGTCTCCAGAATTGAAACACTCTGCATGAGAACTTCCAGTATCAGATTTTTCCCTATAGGAAAGTATTGAATTATACTTTCCTATGGGGAATTCCTAATGCGAGCGCGGCCATTGCCACGCATACACATTAGGTCTCCCCCGACGGCTGACATTATCAGGGGAGGAGCATGGGCAGAGACTGACCCATGGCCGCAGGACATCAGCGTTGGATTCAGGTAAGTGGCTGAAGGGGTTTTAACTCCTTCAGCCCCAGGGGTGGGGGTGGGGGGGGGAGGGACACTGCAAAAGCCTATCGTGCCAGGAAAATGGCTTTGTTTTCCTGGCACTATAGAATCCCTTTAGGAGGAGCTAACCCTAAGATTAAGTTGAGACTTTTAGTGCTTTAATGTGGCACAAAGGAAAGGGTTTCTTTAGGGTTTAGTGGTGGGGGGGTTTAAAATTAAGGTTATGGGAAAAGGGGTGTTTGGAGCATGTGGAATTTGGGGTCGTATTTGCAAAGTACTTACCATCTGTCATCTTCTGTATTCCAGTCTGTTTCCTAAGATTAATATTAGAGATGCTGGAGCTGCAGGATCGGTCAGTGTGCATCACTCATTGCTTTTCCTGCTACTCCAGCAAGGCGCTTCCAGTGTGAGAAATCACTAGTGGACCGATGGGAACTGATCCCTTCCACTTCCTGTCCGGCCTCACACACAGACACTGAATGAGATGGGACAACACTGAGTTTTACACTCCCTATAGGTATAACTATTAATGCAGCTCTACTGTCAATCTTAGAAACATGAGTAGACTACTGAGGACACTGGCCAAGGCTCATTAAGCATAGCTCTTCTTTACCAGCACACTTAAACGTCAAAAATATACTTTATAACTACTGAAATCAGGTCATGTGCCTACTCTGCCTAATGGGAAATCCAGCCCTGTCTGTCTTTCTATATCTATCTATCTATATCTATCCATCCATCTATTACAAATTCAGTGCTTAGTAAATTAACTTCAAAATATATTTGCTGGAATTTTGGATAAATGTTTTTCGTGCCAACTTGCAGAATGCTATGATGAGTTAGTATGATCTATAATGTAACATTAGGTCTTATTTAAATGACAAACACACCATGTCTTAATTTTTATTGTTTTTGCATTGTTTTTCGTGCCAACAACTTATTTTTCTGTCTCCAGATCACATCTCGTCTCGCTGAAGAGTTTAACCGGCAATGTGATTCTAACCGTCTTACATCGTCTAGTGGATGTATTATCAACACTGGGCCCTATGAGAGAGACCCTGGATATGAATCACTGATCCATATGGCCACAGCATTTGACGTGGATGTCATACTAGTACTAGATGAGGAGCGTCTGTATCATAATCTCCTTCGTGACCTTCCTCACTCTGTACAAATTATCCGTCTACTCAGATCTGGTGGTGCCATTGATCGATCTGAAGAATTTCGTAGGGAATCTCAAGATCAACTGGTCCGTGAGTACTTCTATGGTCCTTTTGGCTCAGTCTGCCCCCATGCATTTGAAGTAAAGTTCTCAGATGTAAAAATCTACAAAGCTGGGGCTCCAGTTGCACCAGATTCTTGCGTTCCTATGGGTACCTCACAAGCAGCCAATCAGCTGAAGTATGTACCAGTAACACCCAGCAAGATTGCAGAACATCATCTTTTGAGTGTGGTACTTGTGGATGATGATGGAGGAGAAGAAAGCTTCACGAGGAACAGTGTGGAAGGATTCATCCTCATCACAGGAGTGGACACTAAAAAGCAGACCATTAAATTGCTGTCTCCTACACCCATGCTTCTACCCAAATGTGCTTTACTTATTATGGATGTTATCTACAAGGATCAGAAGTAAAGTGCTTGTTTAGGGAATTGGAGAGTGAAAGACAATATTCAGCAGTATTTTGATGAGATGGATTGCATATGAATACATGGTGTGAACAACTTGCCATTTCAATAAAGTTTTATTAAAAATTTAATTTGAACAATATTTTATATCCATAGGGTATCTAATGTACTGTTACTTTGAAAAGGCTGATTTTCCACATTGCAGTACCTAGAAACAATAAACACCTAACAAAATAATAATATGTAAACAAATTTGTAGAATAACAGAAAATTAAAAAATTAAAAACCAAGAGATTAAGCCTCTGATTTAGACATTAAACAAAGCATTTTTTCATAGTGTTAAAAGGGATCCTACCCTACAGAAAGGCAAGACTAAGGGACCAGCTTGAGTTCTTGAGCAGGGATACAAAATCCATTTATTGGGCCATATTTATTGCCAACATTTATGTGTTAAAGCATATGATGGGGGAGAGAGTATTGTGGAATCCTGGGGATGGTCGGTACAGTCACAATATGTTTCTGGGGTCAAATATTCCATTTCTCAGAGCTCTCGTAATGGAATTCTGATAGCATGTTACCAAAGTTAGAGAGGGAGCAGGACAGTATATAATACCTCTCTATTATAGCTTGAAATTAGACAATATTTTCACATTTAATGTAAAGAAAGGGATCATTCAAAGCAGAGCAGGCTGTAGTGGTTATGGTGCTTTTAGTGTTACATTAAACAGATTGTGACAGTGAAGCACTTCACATCCAATATCATAATGTCAATGTTATCTATTGATATATAAATATGTTGGGTTAAACACTCTTGCAAACAGGCTCTAGAACAATAGTCATCAAAAATTAAGTTGACCGTAATACAATGCTTTCCCGAGCAGAAAAGTAGAAGAGGATGAGGTAGGTAAATATGACCCATTTTTTTTACATATACATGTTTAACTAAAGCAGCTTGGGTTTCGATAGCATTTTTTAAAGAGTTAAACTTATTTTTTAGTGACAGCTTTAAATGCATTTTAACATGGTGTACTGTTTGCACATTCACATTGCAAGTTTGCGTTAATAATCTTATTGTTCCTCCTTCTATGTGTATGAGCTGGAAACCTATGGGCACTCAATGAAACTTCACCATCAAGCGTTGGGTATAACAGTAAAATGAGAAGGAATTGGGAATAATTATGACAACAGAATAGGCAGTGATATGATATATCTCTCAACAGTTATTAAGGCCAGTTAGCCTACTATAGCCTACTGTAGTGGTTTTGGTGTGAGGAGTGCCTGGGTGCCAAAACTTTAAAAAATTGTTTAATGACGTACCGGTGGTCAGCCTTAAACCTACTCTATCCCAAACCATAAAATAGCATTAGCCCAAACCCAATGCACAAGAGTACATTATTGAGGCCTGTGCGGAATCCTGCGGACTCGCGGATCCTCCATACACCCAGCCTATAACCTGCAGCTATCACGGATGACAGCTGCAGGTCTTGACACATGTTTCAGGAAATGTCAGGCAGAGGAGAAATACACAGACAAAGTAGTCCCTACCTTGTCTCTGTATTTATCTTGACTAGGTTGGAAATTTAATGAAATTCCTATACAGTCATAATGAGTATTTCATAAAGATACTGCCTTAAAATTTTTAATATGGAGGTGACAGTGCCCTTTTAAGCACCTCTAGTGGCCATCTGAGTAACTGCCATTAGAGGTGTTACAAGGCAGCAATGTAAACACACCTTTTTCTTTGAAAATGCTCAGTGCTAAGACTGCAGGGACATGCTATAGACACCAGAACCACTACATTTAGGCTGTAGTGAGTCTGGTGACTATAGTGTCCCTTTAAGCAAAATGTACTGTGTATGTATGATACAAGGGATATAAAACAACCATTTCATATCTAAAATCCCTTGTTCTATGATTCTCTATCTGCTCTCAGTGACAGAAGCCGAGGGGCATTTCTTTCTTCCACTGCATTCAGCTGACTGACTTCTTTCACAAAATATATTATTTTTAGGTATTTTATTACACAAGATAACTGGATCGCAACATTTTGCCTATCTCAGAAAGCCAAAAACAAAACAAAAAAAACAATTATTGTTTTATAAATACATATATGAATTAAATATACATGCTTGACATAAACAATCAATAATATTTTATCAGTAAAGAAGAGGAACATCTAATATTGATGCTATGGTGTAAAAAACAGGCTCCTAGAAAGCAAACCTTCCTGAAGACACTAGAGTAGTATTTGGTATGCTGCATCCCAGACAGGTCCTAGTGGAGACTACTCATGTCGTATTTACTCTGATATGTGAATAAATGGTCCGAATATATCACTGTATGTGCAAACTTTCAGTATACAATATTTTGCCTCATACTTAATGCATAATGCTGGATCACTCTTTGTCTGCCTGATGTTTGGCAGCTGAGGTAAAATTAGTTATACAACTGAGAGAAGGCCAGAACTGGACGATGGAGCAATGGAAGAAGGTTGCCTGGTCTGATGAATCACATTTTCTTTTAGATCAGGTTGATGGCTGGGTGCATGTGCATAATTTACCTTAGGAAGAGATGGCAGTAGGATGCACTATGGGAAGAATACAGGCAAGCAGAGACAGTGTTATCCTCTGGGCAATGCTCTGCTGGGAAACCTTGGGTCCTGGCCTTCATGTGGATGTAACTTTGAAATGTGCCACCTACCTGGAGATTGTTGCAGACCAAGTACACTTAATGACAATGGCCTCTTTCAGCAAGATAATGCACCATGCCACACTGTAAAAATTGTTCAGAAATGGTTTGAAGAACATAATAAAGAGTTCAAGGTGTTGTCTTGACCTCCATATTCCCCAGATCTCAGTCTTATTAAAGATATGTGGGATGTACTGAAACAACAAATCCTATCCATGGAAGCCACACCTTGCAACTTCCAGGACTTAAAGTATCTACTGCTAATGTCTTGGTGCCAGATACCACAGGATACATTAATAGGTCATGTGGAAACCATGCCTTGATGTATCAGCGCAGTTTTGACAGCTCAAGGGGGACCTACACGATATTAGACAGGTTGTTTTAATATTATGGCTAATCAGTATAATGATCTTAGTGAAGTGGTCTGGGTACCATATTCCTATAGTTTTAACCTTGCATCTAAAACCACTGTCATTCTGCAGGAATGGCAATGCTTACATTGTAGGCTTTAAATGCCTTTGGTAGTTGTCACACTGACAGCCACAAGAGGTGCTTCCTTCAAAATAGCTGAGTGATATTCTGCTATTTCAATCAGTTGGTCTCATAGAGACCATTTAATTGGAGCAGCGTTTTGCCATGCATGTGCACTAGCCTCCCATGCTTTTCTATGTTAATGCATTGGATTGGCTGATATCATCAAGATTGATGATCTCAGCTGTTGTGGACAAATAAATTAACCCAATCCATGTTAGTAAAATGCCTATTTACTCAGCATAACTACAATCAGCATTATTCAACTTTTTATGTGATTTACCTAAAATGGCCGCTAGGGAGTTTCCCCTTTAACATCGACTAACACCCTCATTAACAAGATGGCGCTGGAATCTGGGGGAGACCACCAAGATACCAGTGACATCACACCCGGTAGGCAGAGCACTAAATGAACCACTTAACACCTAACCAATTATTGTTGTATTATTCCATGTTATCTCTGACAATGCTTATGATGTAATTTTGCTTTATAAGGGACATGTCGTCCCCCCTGAATAAACATTCCTCAAGTTTTTCATTAACCCGAAACGTGTGTCTGGTGTGAATTACTTTAGGAGCGTGCACGCATTATTTCTTTAATTTGGCCGGGGGCAGATATGCAAGATAATCAATTTATTGATTGATTTCCACATCATCAGCCAATGAAGCATGGTCAGCTGCAGAGAGAGCAGAGTGGCATGGGAGAAAAGGAAAGTAAACTCATCTTTCTAACTATTTAGCAGGTCACTATAGCACTCGGAATACATGTTTGTACAGCGTTCCTTTAAATCTGGGTCATAGTTCGACCCTCAACAGAGTCAATACTAATAATAATAGATTTTTCTATAATAAGTGTTCAAAACCAGCAGGTCACAGTTACTCAGTGGATTGAGTGGTTCATTTAAAAATGTATGCAAAACTCGATAAGGAAGTATCATACTAGCCAACATTTTCATGATTTCTACAGCATTTTTCAACAAATGAGCATGTGGCTGCTTATTGGTAGAACAAAGTAAAAATCTAGCAGAATGCCTTCATTAACTTAACTTAACTATCAAAAGAACACAAATAAGACCAAGATAAACAAATGGTGTTGAATACATAGTGGTGAAATGATGGCCCATTAAATCTAACTTAAATCTATAGCTTAGTTTTACAATTTGGGATATATAATGTAAGAGAAAAAGTGGGAATTCAAATCAAAAGTAGAATTTCTGAAATAGTGGAAAAGGAAGAAGGTAAGTACAGTAAAAATATCAGAAATAAAACTCAAGATGTAGTCAAACTTCAAACTCAGATAAGGGAATGTTAAAAGAATGAAAAATCCATAAAGTCACATTACGCAGAACAATTCTCATTATTGAATTTAATTTAAAAATAAAATTTCACTTATGGCGGTTTGTTAAATTTGAACAATTGCCCAATTTGTACAGGAAACAAAATAAACAAATCCATTCGCAGCCTGGTACGTTAAATCATTCAATAATATTTCTACACTGCCATCTAGTGGATGAAAGCAAACATTAAAACAAATGCTGTCTAAAAAAAATGAATTAGTATTAATTAACTATCTGTATGATTTCCTTTTTTCAGTTGCAATGTAAGAGACATTAAATTAAGCCACGTACTGTATCGCAACTGGTCAAAAAACTGGTGAAATTATCGATTTTAATTTTTACTGTCAAATTAAGAGACCTAAAACTAAAATGAACTTGCCTGGAAATAGTGTTTTTCTTAATGGCATAAAACAAAACAATGTAATGTATCACAGTTTTAATGTCTAAAAAC